GCAGGGCATTTAAAGTCTTCTTTAGGATGCAGTAAATGCTCTGTTGGACACGTTGATGGGTATCTCTGTTCACTATCTAATATCTCCATTATAGATGCAGTGTGTGCTACTACTCCTACTATTTTCATAGAGAAAGAAAGTTGCTTTTGTCTTTGAGGCATGCAGAATTTTGATTTGAATATTGCTTTGCACCAGAAGCAGCCTTACATAAATCAGGCTGAAATTATTATTTTGCTAAATAAGGATTTTTTTCCTATGTGTAGTTGAAATTTTGCTGTTTAGCAAATATAACTACTGTAGTTAATAAGTCAGCTTGTTTATACACCCTTAACAACCTATTAGAATACTATGAGAAATAATATTAGTCATCATAAGAGTCATTTTCCAAGTCATGGTTTGGGGTTTTTTTGTTATGTTTGCTGTCTTTAAGTCATAATTGAAACTTGACAGGTGTTTTTAAGTAGCAGTTCTGTATTGTATGTCACAGACATTGGAATGGGCTGCCAAGGAAGTTGGTGGATTCTCAGTCTCTGGAGGTTTTTAAGATGAAACTGGATGTGGCACTTAGTATTGGTATTGGATCAAGGGTTGGACTTGATGATCTTGGAGGTATTTCCCAACCTGGTCAATTCTGTGACTGGTAGTGTTCTGAATCCATGGCTGAGAGTGATTTCAGCGAAGGGTTCAGGTTCCTGCGCTGGCAGGACTACAGCTAAATCCAGACTGATGGATTCTGCTTGTTGGGGGAGCTTTCAGATTTTTTTTTTGCTATCCTGTTACCAGTGTAGAGTTGTCCAGTGTAGCTCACCCTGTAGCTACAGCCTGTCCTGAGGGTGAGTCTGCCACATTTGTTCAGGTGCTGTCACTTGTCCAGGCATTTTCTGCAAGTCAGACCCCACAGGCTGAGGGCAGTGATTGACTGCAGTAGCTCTGTTCTTTAGGTCTGCAGATGGCACCTCAACAGAGTTAAGTTGATCTTTTCCTCAGGCCTGCCTCGTGGGCTGTGAACCATTCTGGTTATGTTCTAGCCAAGAAGGGAAATGCGCAGTTCTCCTTCTCCTCCTCATAACTTGTGCCCACTCTTGCCTCAAGTGGCAGTGGCTGGGATCAGGAGTGGCAGGATGCTCTCGTGAGGGGCTTACCCACGCTTCTCTACCACACCTGATGTCGTTCTCTTAAGTGTGCTGGATGAGTTTGCAAGTCTCCCGTGGCAAATTTGGAAAAGAGCAGCTGTGAAATTTCTGGTTGGAAGCGGTAGACTGTCTGTTTACAATAAACAAAGCAGATAAAGAAATGCTTACATACATTCTTACTTACTATTAAATCTAAAGTGTAGGGCTTATATAAGGCCTCAGGTTATTAAAAATCCTTCCACATGTTACATCCTGTCCTGAAATAATCTGCCTGTTGGGGCTTTGCTTCTGGGTCACATCTGTAGATGAATCAAGAGAATTGTCCTGAATGTCACTCAGTTTTTATTGCAGTTACTTTAAAAGGAAAAAAAAAAAAACAACCAACAAAACACCAGGAAGTGCAAACCTCAACTGAACTGGCACAAAATCCTGGCTTTATCCGCTTGACTTTATGTATTAAATCTTAATTCAGCTCAAGAAATATTAATCACGTATCCTAAATAATGCCTATTACTGTCTGGCTTTTCAATTAAAGCTTCACAAGCTTTTAACGAAAAAGTGATGGAATTACCCACCGGCGTTGTGGGTGTTCAGCTCTCCCCCAGGTTTGCCAACCGTGGCTTCAGGCTTGGAGAGTTGAGTCCCCAAGGCACTGACACGGAAGTTAAATTGTCTGTAAAGACAGAAAGGACTCAGCCAGGCTGCATAAGGCTCTGATTTATAGGGAGCCAGCAACCGATAACTCTTTTGAGGTCAGCGCAGCCTGCGTGAGAAGAGGAACAATAACACTCTTGAGCCCCTTTGGCACTCCTCCCTTCTGCTGAAGGCAGGATGTGTGTGTAGTATTGGTACATGTATTAATGAAGTATTTGAAATATTGAGGATTGCCCATGTTTCTTGTAGTACCCTCCCTTCATTTCCTTATGCTCTCCAAAGCAGTTCATCCTGCATGTTACCCTCAGGATACGCTCAGAATTTACTTGTGTTTTGTTAGAAGTGTGTCTCCAGTGAAAGTGCTCCGGCAAAGCACATTTTTAAAATGCCTACATTTTTAGGGGGAATAACCAGAATAACTAATGCCCAGTCCTTATACATCAGTGTTGCCTCCCCATCTGTTTGAGGATCTGGCATCGTGTCATACTGAGCAAAGATATTTTCTGGTGGTACTTTATGCTATGTGTTCTTTTTTATCATGGGCAAATTGTCTGTGGGTTTGCTTTGATTTTCCTCATGTGAGGGAAGAATGAAGAGTGGTGGATCAGGAAGAGAGCTGAAGCAGAGGCTAAAGGAATAAGTACGTATTAAGAAGCATCAGGATGGCTTAAATTTCACAGCAGTCTCTGTACCCGACTGTCCCTGTTGGCTACAGGTGGCTCCATCCTGCCCTCCATGGGCTGCTGAGTCACGGCTCAAAGCCACTGGGCTTTCTCCATGTACAGGGTGCGACTGCAGGGGAATTCAGGCTGTCTGAATATGGCCCTGGGTGGTGCTTTATTTATGGAAGTTTGCTGCAATCACCAGGGCTCACAAACCCACAGCAGCACAGTGTGGTTTTGGAATAGTTTTGTCTGTGCCTCATGTTGAGCGGGTCACAGCAGCGTGGGCGCACTCCTGGGGCAGGGCCAAGAGCAGAGCTGTTATCAGGGCTGTGTGTCCCTGTTCTTTTTGCTAATGGCAGATCACAGCTGTGGCCTAGTGTGTTGTGATGTGCTGTGGTGGGGAAATCATTCTGCTTTGTGGAAGGGTAGAGCTGAGCAGGTAGGAGGGTAGCACAGAGGCTCATGAGATTGCAGGTTTCACCCCTAATTATTTTGTTGTTTAATTGCCACTCTTAAGAGTCTGTGTCACTTTTGGAAATAAAAAATCTGTTATAATTGGAGGTGTCTGGCCGTGGCTTATATTGCAGTGAGAGAATTTCCTACTTAATCAACATGCAGAGCAAATCTTGATGGTCAAAGGAGTGAGTGTACAATCTCAGAGTGAGCAGCAGGCTGCCTCTCCATCTCAGCACAGGGTGGTGTGAGCTGACCACAGTGACTGCCTGCCTGCTGTGCTGCTCTGCAGTGTGTGCTGGAGCGGGACAGGTCAGTGCTGCCGTGGAGTCCCGTCCTCCCACGCTGCACAGCAGCCCTGGCCCACACAGCTCAGGGCTCTTTGGATCCAGTAACCTCTGCCTTTGCTTCAGTATCTTGCCTCTTCTTTTCCACTGCCCTTACTTTGCGATGCTGGTTGCTTCCCCCGGGTGTAGAGCTTCATTTTGTTTTAATGGCCTGAGCTGCATTTAAAAAAAATTAGTCGTTCTAACGAAACTTTCAAGAGGGTACCAGAGTCCTGACTCGTCAGTCACTGCTCGTAGAGCAGAACTTGCTTTGGGTTTATTGGCGTGTGGGTGGTGTCTGAACATTTTCACAAAGGTAATGCTTTATTAGTTTTTATTTCATTCTGAATTAAGACTTTGTGGACATCCTTAAGTAGTTAATGAACAGCTTAATCACTTTTAACCGTTTCCCTGAGGAACTCTGTGCTTCGTTCCTCTTTAGAGTCTCTGAACATGTTACCAAGCTGGATGATGTTTCCCACATCTGACCAATTTAAAGGCATTTATGAAGAAAAATTCTTTTTCAAAAATTCCCAAATGCACTGGTTTTGGGAAAGGTTTAAAAAAGAGGGACAGCTGCTTGGAGTGCTTTAGAACTATTGCATGTGGAAGGGAGCAGAAAGAAAGAGAATGAATGGAATTTTTTTCTTCATTTTATGGTGGACTGTGCAGGAAAGCTTGATAATTGAACAAGGAATTTGCACAGAAGGGGCTCCCAGCACTGCAGTACTTTATGGAGTGTTCAAATATTTTTGTTATGAGCAAGAAAGTTATTGAATCTCTGTTAATGGTTTCATAGACTTCTATTATATGGCACAGCAAACTTTGGGGTTCCTCTCTGCCCCATCTCTTTGTCCTGATTTCAGCTGGAATAGTTAATTTTCTTCTTGGTAGCTACTACAGAGCTGGGTTTTAGATTTAGGATGAGAGTAATGTTGATAACATGCTGACGTTTTGGCTGTGTAGAGCTTACCCTGAACCCTTTTCAGTCTCTCATGCTCTCTTAGCAAGGAGAGGCACAAGAGGCTGGGAGGGAGCGTGACCAGGACAGCTGACCCAAACTGGTAATATCAATATTCCATACCATAGACTGTCACGCTCCATATGTGAGTTCTGGGCAGTTTTCTGGGAGCCGCTGATCACCGCTGGGGAATGAGCTAAATACAAGCAAGCAAACTCTGTCAGCATCTCTGGATGTCTGTGCTTGGTTGTTTGCTTCAACCTAAGTTGTGTAGCCAAAGTCTTGAAAAGTTAATTTTAAGAATAGCTAAAATTGTTTGCAGTGAAATATTAGAATTACTGTATATTCCAGCTTGTTGGTACAAAGTAGAAATGCAGGCTTCAGATAGCACTGGAAATGGGATAAAATTGACGTTAAGAGGAAATGTTAGATGAAAACAGACAAACAGTAGAGAGCACAGAAGGGAGAAGGCAGCTGGGCAAATGCCCTTGTGTTTGCTTGCAGTTTGGTTTTAGTATCTTTTGTGGTTAATAATGCCCATGTGGTATGTTGTGATGATGTACTGGGTGATGCAGAAACATCAGGGAAAGGAGGAGCTCCCAGCAAAGCTCATCCAAGAGGTTCCATTCTCTGGAAATGCCAGCTGGACCAGCTGGGTCCTGTAAGCTACTGAAATGTAGGTCAGGCAGCTGCAGAGCCCTCTCATCTTACTTCCAGCTCAAGTTTCCAGGTGTCCTGTTCCTTCCTGTGCAGGGGAGGTAATGCTGAAGCCGTGGCTCATGCGTTGTGTCCTCCTTTTTGTTTGTAGGGGACAGTCTTTACGTTGGAATCCGAAGAGGAAGAGTACCCCGGGCTCATCGCGGAGGACAGTAATGACATCTACATCCTGACCAGTGACAACTCAGGCCAGGTGAGCCCCCCAGAGTCCCCCACGGTGACCACGTCGTGGCAGTCGGAGAGCCTGCCCGTCTCCCTGTCGGCGAGTCAGAGCTGGCACACGGAGAGCCTGCCAGTCTCCCTGGGACCCGAGTCCTGGCAGCAAGTGGCTATGGATCCCGAAGAAGTCAAAAGCCTGGACAGCAACGGAGGGGGCGAAGAGAGGAGTGAGAACAACTCTTCCAACTCCGACATTGTTCACGTGGAGAAGGAAGAGATACCGGAGGGGATTGAGGAAGCAGGGGTGGCGGCTGGCGCTGCAGAGACCATGCAGGCGGCGTTTCCAGAAACCTCTGCTTCTCTACAGGAAGCAAAACCTCCAGCTGAAGTTGCTGCTGTTGAAAAAGCACATCCCTCTGCACTTCTGCGTGCAAAACAGGAGGAAAAGGGAAAAGCGGCCGAAGAGCTTGTTGAACCTGAAATCCCCGTACTAAGTAAACCTGTCCCAAAGTTAGCCCCGTCAGAAGAAAAGGCTGCACCAGAACCTGAGAAAATACTGCTTCCAGGGGAAAAAAAAGTGGGGAAAGAGGGCCATTTGGAAGAAGCGGAAGAGAAATCCTCGGCTGCCGAGGAGAAGCCTATCCTATTGCCGGAAGGGAAGTCGATACTGCTGTACGGCGGGGCTGCTGCCGTGGCTATATTGGCTGTAGCAGTCGGAGTAGCGCTGGCGCTTAGGAAAAAGTAACGGAGCTCTCTTGAGGAGGAGGGGGGAGAGACAAGAGAGCACCATCCAGTTTTTTGTAGTTGTGTTACCTAAAGGTCGAGCTGCCTGCTGTTTAATTGGACATTCGAGTAACTTAATGGTGATGGGGTGAGGTTGTTCAATAAGCCTCCAGCTACGGACAATCATGTTTTTAGTAGAATCGGGGTGGGGACTGGTTTTTCGTGATTAAAGTACTGGGGTATTTTTAAAAAAAAAAAACAACAAAAAAATTCTGCAAATTTAAGAACTTAAGTGCAGGTGCTGAAGAAAGGGGTGCTCATACTCTAGGAACTGGAACAGAGAATCCCCAGGGGAAGGGGAGAGCCAGCTGCTGCCAACCCCTGGAGTTTTTGGCTTCTCAGACTGACCGCTATTGCAGCTGTGCTGTCTTGTCACTTCCCGTCGCGCCCCAGAGCCCTTCCTAACAACCATTAGCCAACCTGAGTCCTGTAGCGAGAGGCTGGTCTCCCTTTTGTCTCGGCTTCCTCTCAGGTACAGCACTGCTCCTCATAACCTTCCAGGTTCCTCCTAAGCCCCGGTGGGACAGTGCTTTTTTTTACCTCTTGGCTCACACTGGTTTTGGCCCCTAACGTTTACTGGAGCCCCATCCTGTGAAGATGCTGCCTCTCTATTGCTGTATTATCTCTGAGCATCCTGGTGTTCCTGGGGTAGAGGTGCTGCCCAGGAGGGTGGGAGGGACACTGCTGGTTTGAGAACCCATTTGCTTTCCTCCTGCCCGGCCCACTTACTGCGACCCCTCAGTTACCAGAGGTGCAAAATTCATGCTGGACACGGTGCCGCTTGGATCAGTGCTCTCCTCTCCGGGGTACGGTCAGTGGTAAATGCTCTGCTGTCCTGTGTCACGCCGCAGTCTGCATTGTCTTTCCCAAGTTAAGCACAGAGTGTATTTAGTCCTAACTTGGTCTTGCCTGTGACAGAATCCCAGATATATAAAGCAATGGATTCTAGTGAGCAAAAGAACATTAAACATCTCCTCTATCTGCTTGTTCCTGACCTGACCCGGAGCGCTGGTCAGTGCGATTTCTTTTGCGGCAATGAATCTGTAATCAGCTAAACTTACAGGTTCACGAGTGCTGAGAAAAGTTACTTGGGCAAAAAGGAAACCCCTTTTCCTGCAGCCACACCACTTCGGGCGTGTGCAGAGAGAAACGTTTGAAGTATTGCCATGCTCTTTAGTCAGATCCAGCTACAAGCGTTCCTCTTTCAGCATGTTTGTGTGTCTGTCCATGTCCACTGCAGCTCTGTGGGCAAGACCTTGGGCTTTCCAGGCAGAACTATGGATGCATCTCCTAGGGTTGGCACTGTGGCTTAGATCAGCTGGAGGGAGGTGAAAGGGAACTCGTGATAATGTAGAAACCGAAACGTGAGCTTACGGGAATCTTACTCTTCACAAAGCACAAAGACAAGGTACTTTTATTTCTAAATAACCTTATCTAGGGTACATCTCCTGATGAGCCTCTTTCTTGAGGGATCTCAGAATGAAGAGATTTTAGCATATTCTCTATTTTAGGATATTCTTGCTGCATTTTCCTATCCCAAGATGCTGGAAAGTTAGTCAGAGCGTGTCAGATTCTGAGGAATTATTTTTGTTTAAGCTTTTGTGAGAATGGATTTTCTAGAAAACGTACTGGATTTTGTGTGTGTGAAGTTAAGAGGAAGGGTTGTCATGTATGTGCTGCCACTGTGGACTGAACTCGGGAGCTGTGGAGTTCCAGACTTTACTGTTGATCACTGATGGCTCTTTTTCTGTATACAAAACTTAGTAGTTTGGCCTTAACAGAAAAAACCAAAACCCTTTATCATATTGCAAAGTGGAATTGACTTTTTTTACCATTTCCTGGTAGTCTCATTGCTGTGCTTTCCTGCCTGGTCAGTTGGGATGGGGCTGCCCCTCTCCTGCTGCTTTGCTGATGGCTTTGGGTTCTTCTCTGGGAACGTTCTCTGTGGGAAAAGGGCTGTTCTGAACCTGACCTACATCCTCTCCTACTGAAGATGCTGAGCTTACATCTGGGACATCCCCAGCTGTAGGCACACAGTGGGTTACTCTAAAGCAGAGATGGATCCTGTGGACAATGGATAATTTGTGGATCAAGGGGGGGTGCAGGCAGGGCTGGTTTTCCTTTAACTCTTCTCTGGATGTGGTTGTTTCAGTGTTAGTGTGGGAGATCAGTAGAGGACAGACAAGAATAAATCCAGGCTGGCTAGGGAAGAAGTCCCTAACTTGTTGGCACAAGGAGCCCAGCAGGGCATTAAATAGAAAGCGTCTTCTTCCACACAGCAGTGAGAAGGTGGCAGCAGGAGTGAGGAGAATAAGTGACCGTGTTAAGCATTTTCACAGTCAGGCAAAAGTCTTGAGTATCTGGTGTGTTGCTACATTTAATGGAGCAGCAGCTGCACTGTATGTTTTTGCTTGGTCCTTCCTCTAGAATATTCTTCTCCTCTAAGGGTCTTTCAGATTTGACAAGTCAGCAAGAATTTGTACCCTCCTCTCCCCCACCCCACTGCCCACATGTTCAGAACATTTATTGTGAGTCTCTTTCCTCTGGGAACACTCCATTAGTTGAAAAGGTCAGTTGTGGGATTGAACTCTGCCAAATTTGGAGTCCTGCAGTCAGAGCTGGGACAGGCCCTATGGAGGTCACCAAAGGGCAGGTAAGGTCAGATGGCAGCGTTCCTGCAGCCCTGAGGGACAGGCTGCTCTGTCAGAGGTGTGAATTAGAAAATGGAAGGGCTTTTTCCCCCCATCTTCAAGTGTTTTACAGTAATCCTACGCTGCAGGGTCTAACTATCCCGAAGGGCGGGATGCAACCTCTCTGTAGTGGATCTCTTGCAGCTGGCAGAGGGAAAGGCAGTAGCTCTGTACTTGCAAAAGGGCAACTCGCGTTGCGTATCCCCTTCCCAAAAGTGCCTCAATACCTGTCCTCGAGTGGCCTGTACCTTAACAAAATATCTACCTTAGACCCATTCTGTCTTCACTTAGCACACCCTAAAGCTGAGATGCTAAAACAGCAGAAGACGAGATCGACAAAGAAGTGGTAAATAGTTAATGAACTGCAGTGGGCAGCACGCTCAGTAAGGAGCTGTCAAGGAATAGGTTTTCAAGATAAGGTGCAACTTTAATTTCAGCTGTGGTTAATTCTAAGTTATGCTTGGGCATTGTGGCTGGGAGATGGGCAAGGGCTTTCTTCAGCTGGCACTGCAGGAACAAGAGGCTGGGAGCAAAGACCAAACCCCAGAGTCCCACTGTTACCCAAAAGCCCAAAGTGCAGACAGAACCACGTCCCTGCCTGCTGTAGCTGCCATGTGTGGGGTGGAGCTTGGGGGATTCCTGCCTCCCTTCACCCTCACTAAATCCAGCTGTGGGGCAGCGTGACAGTACCGAGCTGCTCAGCTGGCCACAACAGGAATAGTACTGGGCACAGACAGAGAGGCAGCTTGAACACTTAAGGTTTTGGTTTTCTCTGGGCTGGGGGGTGCTGAGAGGGGTTCTCAGGGTGGTAATTGGGCTGCTGAAGACTACAGAAAATAACTTACTTAATCTAAGATGCTTGGGCTGGCCCAGCCAAACAATCTGCAGCCAAGAAAGCAGCACTTCTGCAGCCTTCTGTCCATAAAGATGTGAATCTTGGAGCAGCTGCTGTTCCAGGTACTCACCAGTTCAGGAGCTTTTCTGGCACAGAGCTGGATGGTCTCTGTTCAGTATTGCACCTGCTTTTGGACACCAGTTTAGATTCTGGCTGGAGGTGAAGTGCCTGTTGTGGTGGTGTTTGCAGTTGGTTGTTTCTTTCCTAACATGCCTTCTGGAGAGCAAGTTAGTACTAAGGAATCCATCCTTGCTGTTTGTGAGGGCTTGATTTTTCATCCTGGCTGGAAGCTGTGCTCAGGCATCTGCAGCTCAAGGGCCAGGTGAAAGCTGCAGTGCTGAGTGCTCTTACCCAGGACAAGTTCTGCTGCCAGAATCCCGCTTCCTTCCTTTTCACACAGCGCTAATCACAGCCAGCCTGACGCACTGGACTGGATTTTTAAAACTAATCAATGCTTTCTAAGGGTCACTAATGAAAAATTTAATTAGTGCTAAACATGCAAGCTTCTAAAGTTTGGTCATTTTTCATTTTAATCACTGTAGTAGATAAAATAATCTGAATTTATAAACCTTCCCTGCATTTAATTTCAGCTACAGTGGTAGGGCAGTACTAGGAAGATCCACCCAGGAAGGTAGATCTTGCCATTTTGTGTAAAAAAGAAACTAGAAGTGCTTCTGGCAGCATCATGTCTCACTCCCTAAGCCAGAGCAAGCTCCTGTTACAGAATTTGAGAGTGTAATGAGGTTCCTCTGCTGTGAAATGGGAGGGCGTGGGGTGGAGAGGTGAACACACAGTCCAGCTGCGATGCCTGAGGGGCTTCAAAAGAATGTTTTATCCCAAGCTCTGTTTGTGTCTGCTCAGGTTGGAGCACACTAGAAGGAGGTGCTTCCCGGTGAAACATGGAGAGGTCTGGTACCTGGTGAAGGCAGAAGCTGTGCATGACTTTAATTTGGCTTGGTCAGCTTAGTTTCAGTCCTAGGAAGGTTCCAAGAACAGCGTTGTTTTGACTCCCTGTATGTACCTGTGCGTTAAAGGGCAAGCTCTGTATTGCCATAACAAAACAGGGGGGTGAGGGGGTATTTATAAAATTTAAGCCACCGCTACTTGACTCCAGCAGAGTGAGCTCTCAGGCCCAGAGGAGCAGGGAACTCAGTCTGTGTCTGACAGACTGAACTCTCCTGCCCAGTCCTTGTCTGGGGCACAGCCCCACCTCGGAGGGGTGTAAAGTCCAGGGGAACCACAACACAGCATCGCGCAGATCCACCTCCTTAACTTAAATAACAAAATTGTATCACTTTTTTTCCTACTTAGAGCTGACCCTCTCTTGGTCTCTTGGGTAGGTGATTTGCTTCCTCCGAGCCAGGGTCTGTGGTCATGCTGTAGAAGTGGGGGAGCTCCTGTTGGCTTCCAGTGGAAGCTGCCTTTGATCTCCCTGCAGTATCTGCAGGGGAGGGAAGGAACACTATCGACGTGGACAGAACAAGCTGCAGAGGATGCATCTTACTGCTATACCTTTAGGGGGTCTGTCCCCATTTTTAACTTGCAGTATAAGCAGTATAAGCAGCTTATACTTGCAGTATAAGCTTTTATTCAAACTCAGACCAAAAGAATGCCACTTGATTTGTTAAGTAGCAAAGACTAATGGGACTTGATTTGTTAAGTAGCAAAGACTAATGGGACTGACTAAAGCTGCATGTTAGGGGATATCTTCTACTAGGCTTCTGCTGGGTGTAAGCAAATAGTGACAGACTTGCAGGGATTTCAGATTCTGTTCTCAAGAGGCCTGCCTGGGGGAAGAGACCCTGACTGGTCCTCAAGTCACCCATTATCCCAGGAACTTGTCATACTGTTCCTTCTAATATGCAAGTGCAGCCCTCTTGGGGAAAACTGTCTAAAGCTTCTTGTGCCATTTGGTTAATAAAAGTGTTTCCACCTTTAAAAGAAAGTTCTTTCCAGCTTCATTGTTCTGTAGTCAGTTGAAGTGAAGGGGTATGTACATTTTCTCCCTCTGCTAACGGGACACTGCTGTAAGACCATGCCCCCAGGTTGCACTTTAATAAATGGTACAGTTTTCAAGAAAAATGTGTAGACTATTCTGTGCTTCCCCCCGCGTTTTAGTGCAGGACCAGAAGAAAAGATGCTTTTACTTACATAAAATTTGCTTGTGCAAGGCACAAGGACAGGACCGGGGTGTCTCTACTGCTGCCAGCTGCATTGTCAGCCTTGGTAAATTAGGGGAATGGCGTGAGTACTTGAACAAAAAATTGACATCACCAAAAAAATCCAGGTGGAAACTGAAATTCTTACGAGCCATAGTGCCACAAGAAGTGACATTTTTATTTAAGAAAGCCCACAAAATATTTACAAACTTTCAAAACTCGTGAGGCAGCTGGATCACGGGTGACGCATTTGCCACCTCGTGTGATTATGTGTCAAACAACCTGAGTAGAAGTTTGTTGAACCTGAGATGTGATCTCTAATAGAGATACCACTTTTTCTCAAGCATATCCAGGTTGCATTCACAAAAAAACTTGCCCTGTGCCTACCCCTGCCTTTTTCTTTACAGTTTCTCCATCAGTTTTATTTTTCAAGCCAACACAGGTGGATGGTGATGGATACTGAAGTATCTTTACTCCTCCATCCTTCAGGGCCCTGTTCTCTCTTGCTGCCCCATCAAGATAGGCCTGATTTCCACCCACCCCCCTTGTGGTCTGTACCCATTTCATAGCCTGAGGCCTTCCTGGGAACAACACTCAGCATGGCTCAGCTGCAAGAGCAGGGCGGGAAAGTGAATAACTAAAGCAAAATGCTACAGCTGATAAGAAAAAAACACAAGAGTGCAGGCCCTGTCCTCACTGGGCCTCTGGAGATACAAGACAGGGTCTGCACGAACTCTGCTACTGCTAAAAAAACCAAAAAGCCCCCTCCCCCTCCCAAAAAAAAACAGAAAAAAATATTGTAAAATGAGAGAAGGCAAGCAGTTCTCCCTACAGGTACTGGCAGAGCTGGCAGGCAGCTCACACTACCATTGCTGCTGTGCTAGTCTACAAAAGCCTATCTATGGAGCTCTGCCATCCCTTTCACAGCTGTGGGAGATACTGAGACACTTCCACAGTATCTCAGAAGTTAAAAAGCAAATAAAGTGTTCTTCAAACACCAAAAAAAGTCTTCCAGAATCCACTTGCTTCACGTGGAGGGCAGGAGAGCTCACTCACCCAGCTGGAGGGAGAGAAACAGAACGGGCATTAACAGCAGCGGAGCCCCTCCCGCGGCAAGCCCTGAGCCCACCCACCCGCAGCTCCCGGGGACCTCCGCGCGTCCCCCGTGTCGCGAAGCGCGCCCCGACACTGCCACCTGCCGAGCTCGGCTGCCATCACCCTCCTTCCCGTGCCAGCGGCAGGGAGGAGTCCCGGGGGAACTGCGGCACAGCCCCCCGCGCCCAGCCCCAGCCCGCTCCCGATGCCACCTCCTGGGCTGGGCGGATAACCAGCAGCCCTCCGACTGCCCTCGCTGCTCCGTGCTCGGAGCCTGCTGGGGCAGCAGGAAGGGCTTGTCCCACACGAGTGACCCGTTTCTGGGATAACTCAGCACCCTGGAGCCAAACTGAGTGAAGGGGAAGGGCAGTGCTAAGTGACATTGCACAGTGACACTGCCCTGCTGCCTGGCAGGGAACAGGGTGCTGAGTCCTGGCACACAGGGTGAGCCCAGCCCCTCTGCAGGTGGCTGCCAAGGCTGCCTGTGGCACAGCTGTGGACAGGGGTGTCCCAAAGACCTGCAGCTCCCCCCAGCTGCGTCACCACTGTGTCACAGAGTGGCAGGATCACAGCCCCGACCACTCAAACTCATTCTCAAGTACCACCCCATCTCAGTACATGTGTGTCCTCTCCCCTTCCTGGACAGGTGAAGCTCTGGCCTCTACCCTGCCTTGTCCGTGAGCTGCCCAGAATCCATCTATGCTGAAGCTCCAACAGTAAATAAGAACAGATCTGACCATTTCTCGTTGCTCTGCTAGGGTTGTTTCTCAGGGGCAATTCCTTTCCCCTTCCAGTTCTGCCAAGCTCTGGGGAGCCAGGGAAGTCAAGAGCAGAGAGCTCAGGATCAAGACATTAAGAAATGCAGCCATCAGAGCTCAGGTCTTTTCTTCCCTGAGGGCATGATTAACCTGAGTCCTACAGGCACAGCTCCCTGAAGAGACTGCAGGGAGGAGAGGAGCAGTCACAGCTCTCTGTCCCCTGGTTGCTGTGAGAGGGGGGCAAGCAGAAGCTGTGACACCCCCTCAAGCACATTGATCTTTGGAGACTGACGTTCCCTTCTGGCCCAACTTCCAGAGCACTACAGGGAACCCAGCAGCCCACAGGCAGTTGAGAGCTGGGCCACCCTTCTGGGAAGAACCCAGGCCAGCCAGGAGGGCAGCAGAGAGACTGGCTGTGATTGCACTGAGCTGTTTGACAGCACTCACCATTTCGACAACGTAGTTGTGGAACTGCTCACTGATGAAGTTCACAGAGGTGCTGAAGACACGGTGTAGAAGGGAGGGCACCGTATTCACAATTTTCTTAGTCAAGACCATTGTTAGCACCAACATGAACTTCTCCTGTTCCATGTCTGAGGGGATGGCTTGTGCAAGCTCTGTCACTACCCGAGACATGTGCCGCATTATCTCCTGTATGGAAGGAGGAGAGGGATCTCAGTGCAACAGCTGGGGGAGAAAGAGGTCTCAGCACAGCCTGCCAGGACTGCTGGTAACTGATGTGCTTGTTTCAACATCCACAGGATGTCCCTCCCCTTCTTCCCAGGCAGGGCAGCCTGCCTGCTACATACCTGAATGACAGTAAGGATCGCTATCTCTGAGCTCAGCTGCTCACCCAAGACAAAATGAAAGGGAGACAACACCACTGGAAAATTTAGACAGCACCTTACACACTTAGGATGCAACAGCTCCCTCCTCCCCAGGGTTTGCACTGAGCCTGTCAAGTCCTGAAATGGTAAAGGAATTCTGAGGCTCCCAGGAAAGGAGCGTAGATCTGGGGTACAAGCTTAGGTAGGGACTGGAAAAAGGCAGAGGAAGTTTCACAGAAAAGCCTTCACATAAGGAAGTGCTAGCGAAGGTGTCCAAGCCTTGCTCCCAAGATCAGTTTTTCCAAGACAGAACAATATGCACACACTAAGCTATACTACTAATGTGAAAAAGCAAGGTCAGTAATGGGGTTTATATCTCAGTCTTATCAAAGACTAAAAGGTTAGACAATAAACTTGAAGATCTGAAACTTAACTGGGTGGAGAAAAAGGCAGCGAGAGTGGGGAATGGTCAGACTTTGCTGGAATCTAGCTGTGTAGTGATAAACCCTAGTAGAAAAACCCACCACCACAAAAAAAACCAACCAAACAAAAGGATTGGTTAAAGTCATTAAATCCTGCCTTTTTGGCAAGAAGGTGGGCCCTCAATTCTACAAGCATTATCTTGTTCATTAACAAGCACGAGTCAAGCTTCTGGCACTAACCTGCTCCACTTTTATCCACGTGACGATCAGCAGACACACAGGACTTGGCACCAAAGTCCAAAGATCTTAAGGACAAATACTAAGCCTTAACCAGACAGTTAATTTTCAAAGGTAAGTCACTGGGCCAACAGAACAAGGACAAAATGCCTCTGAAAGTCAGTCCTTTTCCACAACTACCCACAACTGTAATTACACCATCTGCAAAAAGGAGATGAGCCCAAGGAACCAAATTTACACAGTTAACTTCTGCCACAGGCTACAGAATCACCTCTAACAAAACTCCAAAGGTAAGTGTTTGGGTTGATTTTAAAGATGGCAAGAATTAAATCAGCAAAATAGCCAAGATACAGAAGTCACAACCTTGCTGTTTTCAGAGTCACAGCAGGAAGGATGCACAACATTCAAAAGGGGAACTGCTAGCCAGGTTGCTTTTCACTCACCTGTCTAGAGAGACTCTCATTCAGAAAGTACTGCACTAGATCATCTACTGCTCTTGCTTGGACATCTTTGTCAAGCTTGTCTCCAATCTTAGCGAGCTGAGCAGCAATGATCCGGATAACATCTTCATCTACCGTAGCATCAGACTCTGCCAACACAGAGCAGGATTTAGTTCACAGGCCACAGCCAGACGAGGTTCAGTGCAGGTAAGCTGACCCACAGCATTTCACTCATCCCCTTTAGCAAACACCTTCCTTCTCATAGAGTATTCATGACAGCTCTAAACACAACTTCTTTAGTGAATCCAAGTTGCTTAACAGAGACAGTACACAAACAGATCTTTTATCTGTGGTTTAGGTAAAGTGCAGCCCAAAAAATCACTACAGGGGATGCTGGAACATCTCCAACCAAAATCTGAACAGGACAGCTACAGCCAACATCCTGCCCTGAGAGGGGAATTGAGAAACTGTGCATGACCTTAAAAGTCTTTCCCAACCTAAATGATTGTAGGATTTATTGAAGTGACTGTTGTCACGACTTGTCTTTTAAGCACCATCTAAAATACAGCATCCCATAGAACAGTTTGAGTTGGATGGAACCTTGAAAGGCCATCTAGTCCCAGCTCCCTGAAACGAGCAGGGACATCTTCAACGAGATTGGGTTGCTCAGAGCCCCAGCCAGCCTTGAATGTTTCCAGGGATGGGGCATCCACCACTGCCAGTGGGCAACCTGTGCCAGTGTTTCACCAACTTGTTGTCAAAATCTTCCTTACATCTAGTCCAAATCTGCCCTATTTCAGTTTAAAGCCATTACACCTTGTCTGATCTCCTTTAAGCAAAGCATCCCGCAGTCACTTTTGGCATGAGACCTATGCAAATTTGTATGGGGGGGGTGCTATTTACTGTAGCACTTCCTCCTCAGCCTGGTTGAGGTCAATGTGCCAGCTGGCACACCCTGGGCAAGGGGCAATAGCCATCCTGCAGAGGGCTAGTGAAGCAGGAACAGGACCAGAAACCTTTTGAGTGAGGAACAGTTTCCACCAGAGCGGAAAGGGATTCACCCAGTACCAGAACACGACTTGTTCCAAGATCCTAGCCCAGTACTGATACTGCCTGAGGAGCAGCACGAGGCCCAGCTTTGCTTTAATATCACACTCCTGGAGGGCAGCTATCATGAGAACCAGCTTTGTGCCCTTGTCCCATGTGCTGCAGGCAAAACCCCAGGGTTACGGGTGCTCTAGAAATCCAGGGGCAGAGAAAGTCTGTCTTATCCCAAGTGTTAAACTCCCAACCAACGGCCACACTGTGAAGTTTCTCAGTGGAGAAAACACTCCTGTGAAACAATCAACAGCAAAAGCAGGAAAGGGGGAAAGAAAAACACCCCGTTCAGACAGGCATTTGGGATGGAGGAAAGCACACTCACCTAGCTCACCGTTCTGGAAGTGGCCGCTCCGATTGCCGTCACACTGGAGCTCAAACTCATCATCAAAGGCTGAAACCGGCTGAGAGATCCTCCGGTCAGAGAGCCCTTGGAAAACAGCAGGCCCTGGGCTTTTCAGGGACCACAGCTGGTCTTTGAACTTGCAGTCAGAGGATGCCTCCAGGAAGGTGTACAGCAGTGCGTGCTCCATCTGGAGATCATAAATGCAAGGAAATCAAGGTTACACCCATGTCCCACTCCAAAGCTCTACACACACACACTGTTTTCCAACCCTGAACACGTCTCTGTGGCCTCCTTCGGGCATCCTGAGTAGCACTAACCAGGGGGTCCACAAGACTTCAGCAAACGCATGCTCACTGCTGGATATGTGAATGACAGATGGCTCTGCTTTTACAAACTGGTGGTGGAAGAGCCAGCTCACCTTCTCCTCACACTCCCAGCTGTGGCAGTGACAGCAACCCTGATCAGAGCCCCTCCTTTGAAACACACATGGATTCAGCAAAAACCATCCACTTCCCCAACTCAGACGTCTCTGTTTGGAAGGATTTTCCCCCTGCATTTGGGAACTGGGCATTCTACTTCCTGTGCATAAAGAAGTCATCAGCTCCCCCCTTCAATGTAATCAGAACAGAGCAGTAACAAGGTGGGAAACAGAGATAGCAGATAGCATAAGCCTGCAAAAACCCCCCAAGGTTCACATTTCTTCTCCCCCTTCAAAGGAACCTCAACCAGCTCCATAATAAACCTGTTCAGCTCCTCGTGCAGAGCCAAGCAGCTGCTCACAAGTATGCAGACTTAGGCCTAATTTCTTCCAGGGAGAAGAAAAATGGCTAACAAAGGATGGCTTGCTATGCCAACTGCACAAGGTGATCAGTGTGCAACCAGGATGAACTTGATAACTGATAGCGAGTTTTGGGGAGTGGAACCTTGCAAGGCCATCTGCATAACTGCATCATCAGTAACAGCATCCAGGACCCACAGTGCCTGGGCAGCAGTAGCACAACTGGGAAAAATGCATAGAGAGTAATTAAGCATGGGTTGTTTACTTGGGAAGAAACTGGGAAGAGAAAAGGAGGAACAAAGTCAACAAAAAGCAGAGTTCAGAAATGGAAACAAATGGAAATTACGGTATATGATCAAAGGTGAACAGAAGGCACATCTTCCATGATCTGAGCACAGTGCTTACAGGCAGTAGTGAAGTTCACCTGGTGACAGAAGCTCTCTGGGACACCACTGGCAATCCCTTCAACAACCCACAGGACTAGTCCTTGGCTTTATCTCAGATAAACTTTCTATCACATTACATTCGAAAGGCTTGTGGGAGGGCAGAGCAGAGGGTTAGAATTGTATCCTAACACAAGCTGGGGTGGGGCAGGATGACAGACATTTCAGTAACAGTTCAATGTAGTTAATCAGATTTAAGTGTGAAAAATAGCACCTTCATAGTTGTGTTCAACGTTGCACAAAATAATGCAATAAACTGACCACAGTGCTGTGCCTATTAATTTGATTTATTAGTTTTAGCAGTTTGTAGCTTTATCAATAAACATTGTAGTCTCTTAAATAGCTACATCTCCAGCCTGCAATTTCAAGAGGGAGTGTCACAGAGAGATAACAAGGAAGCAGCTTGCAAACTACAGGTTGTTCCATCCACTCCTCTGTGTTCAAAGCAGTGTCAGAGTCCCTGCAGGAACTCTGGGAAACTTGAGAAGGACTCACAGAAAGTGACCTTTTTAGGGATGCATATCCATATTTTTGGAGAAATGGCAGTCATGAAAAAGGGCTGAGAAACCCACAACTGCCACAGTGAGAAGGGCATGTGAATGTGAATAACACGAATGAAACTCCTTCCTGCCACAAACACGTGCCAGACACTGGAGTGACATAATCTACGAGTGGGGTTTTAAAGCCAAGGTGGTGCTGCGGAGGAGAGGGACAACCCTCCACAGAGCCAGAGGCTGGAATGGAGAGCAGTGTTACCAGAGAGGAATTTGAGCCCCTGCTGAGAGCAGGTGAGCTGCGTGGCTCTGCGTGCACAGCAGCACAGTCTGCAGTGAAACACCCAGCTGACACCACTACACACCTGCAGGACCTCAGGTCTGCCTCCCCCTGCCCCCGTGCCACAGATACATGTGGATACTCAGGCTCACTTCAGTACTTCCCACCTAATGCCAAAAATGGGGAGAAAGCACTAAGGAGCCCAGGCAGATGGCCTGCTGACCTGGGCTAGTGATGAATGATCCCCTTTCACAGTAACAACCCCTCATAATTGTGTATTAAATAACTAAGTGTGCTGGTGGAGAAGAGGGAGGAAGTGAAAGCAGAAATTAATTCAAACTCTGAAGCAAACCACAGTAATATTTCAAGAGACCATAAACTGCCCAACTTTTTAAAGGCTCTTAAAAGTCCAAGGGCAAAACAGAATCTCAAGTACATTTAAAACACGCAACAGCCCACAGGCTCCCTCTTAATCATGAGCCCTTCTTTTCAAAGAGTTGTTATGTCAGACTAATGGCTAAAACACAGGCTTAAGCCTTTGCTGCTTTGTATTTCTCTCTGTTCCATTCAAATCCCCATTGCTGCTACTCACCTCTACCGTACAGAGTGCTGGCTGGGGAGAGTGCAGTCCCCTCTGTCCTCTTCTCTGGGACCTGACAGAGTTCTGAAACAGGTCAAAAGTGACCCTTCTCCTGGGCTTGACTTTGCTGGAGGAGAGACAGATGTTAATTCAGGTTTGAGAACTTGAAAGAGAAGCCTGGGATGAAGAGGAAAGGGGGGATTTAGCACTAAGTCTGTGGCAGGACTTTGGCTTTGTGCAGACTCCTCGGGAGTTGTCCACACCAGCAGTATTTCTGTAGGGTAGGTAAAGCCTCAGCTTGCACATAGTCTGGTTTTACAGATAACATTTATTTTCAATTTGAAGTAATCCAGACCAAAACCAAGGTGTTCATGTTACAACTGGCAAACAGTGGATATCCTCTGCTATTAACTCCTGTTGAGTTAAACACTACTTTCTGAAGCATCAAGGCTTAGACCACAGGAAGCCTGAAGTAGTACCAAGCCTCCTCTGCCCACATCCCATTTGCCTGGGAAACCACATTCATCACAGCAGCCTTCTTGGGCTCTATCAGTGCTGCCATCCCCACCCAGCCTTTGCCTGTGCCAAAAGCTTCGTGTGGCACCACAGCAGGGCTCCACAGCCGGTCAGACAAACCCCTTCTGGCTAATTTGGGCTGGGAGCAGCCAGCTGACCTTATAACTAAAGTACAAACTGAACACACCTGCCCGTCTTTCAAGGTGCAAGAAGCTGCACCACCCTCTGTTCACACCACACTCCATCGTGGAGGGGCAAATGTTCTCCCAGGCTTCTGGCAGCAGTGGTGCAACACAAGCCTCTCCAGCTGACAGCTGCACACAAGTGGCCAGACTGACTAGCACCAATAAGATTCTTTACTCACCAAAGCCCTACAACCAAAGCTCTTCCCCCCCAAACCCAGCCCAACTGTGCTGGGATGACCTACTTTTTATCATCGCTGAGAATTCCTGGAAATTGCTGGAGGGAGAGCTGAGCATCGAGAGATGGTGATAAATAGAGTAAATAAAATATCATCCTATAGAGGGACCAATGTAATCTTTTCTTACAGCAAGAGGATGGAATAGAAATTGAAGATACTTCCTTGGGGGATTTGCCACCTGACACATCTTTCCAAGGCAAGCTCAGAATGGGGTTTTAAACCCCAGATCCAATACATTTTTCGTCACACTGTTTCATACTGTCAGGAAACTCATTTGATTCAGTCTGAACACTCACGGTAAGAGACCACCAAAAAGAGACCCTCTGTTGTCATTTCCCACTCCCTGCTTTAGAAGAGGCAGCACAGACCACTCCAGTCTGGGAAGGAAAAGCTCCATTCCCAGCGCACAAAATGCAAGTCAAACAAAGCAACCCAGGTTTATTCTGGGCGTGCCCAGGGAACAGCAGCTTGGCACAAGCCTCTGCACCATCCACACCAGCTTACTTTACTGATTAGAGGCTGCAAGAGGAGATCAAGCCCGGGCATGTTCCACACATCAGTTCCTGGAAGCGTGCAGGAAAGGTGCCTGTCTGCTTCTACAGACTCAAAAATTGCGTTTTGAAAGCACTTAAGATTTTCAGAAAGAGGCAGATGCTCACATGCTGGTTACAGCAAAAAAGTCCTCCCTTGGTGCTGCACAGGTAGAGCACCTTGACAAGACCTCAGTGCAAGGAGAAGAGACTTTCATTGTGTGAGGTTCTTCCCTCCCCTCAGGGATCATCTCAGCTCTGGGAAAGTCCCCAGAAATAGAGACTGTACAAAAAAAGTCACCCATTGTAGTTGCAAACTGGAGTTTTGTCCTCTCCTGCACACGAGCAGAGGTAAAACAAAAAAGAACAATGAAAAATTCCACCACACTCTAAAGTACTTATATGGCAATAAATTGAGACAAGGAAGCTTGAATGTGGTAACTTCATGAACTGAATTTCCTAAATCAAAGACTGACCACCCAGGCAGCCAAAGCCCCTGAAGGGTTCCTGCCCTCGGCTAACAAAGTTCTGCTTGGGTGGCCAGAGAGGAGGAAAAAGGATTCCTCCCACATCACAAAATGCCTTCCTATTACTACAATCCAGGGGCAATTATTTTTTATTTTAGTTAACTAATAATTCCACAAACCTCAAGTTTTACATAATTACTCTGAATCAATGTAAAGGGCTTGGATAGTCACAAAGTTCCTCCTGAGATGTCAAATTCCTTAATGGAATCTCAAAAAAAAAACCCCCCGTGGACCCCTAAGGAGCAAACCCCAAACAGTCAAATGCAATCATGCTGATGCCACCTGAAGATTTTAATCATTAAGACTTTGGAACCCTGGTAGTTTTAGATCCAGTCTAAGACCATTTCTACTGGATAGAAAAAGCTTTCCTTATACTGGGTAAAAGGAATCTTTAGTTGAAGAATGAGAAAAGATGGATAAAGGCTACAAACCCCATCTGCATTCACATTCAAAATAAAATTAGATCATTTGCTAAGGCTGCTTTAGGGCTGCTGAAAGCCTGGGAATGAATTTTTACAAAATTTAATTGAAATACCAATTAATTTTAATACATTATTCATTTTCACACTTTCAATTCACTCATTAGACAAATGAGCTTTATGTGTTAGCAGCTGCCTCTGAGAAACCACTAGATGCCTTGAATGGATTCAACAGATAAGATTACAACCAGTTTTTTGGACCAGTTCTTTATCTCTTACTTAGGAAAAAAAAATGAAGGGGGTACTTTAAACACAAGTTTAGGACCCCTAGATCAGTTCTGCAGAGTCAGCGTAAGGATGTTCATTCCAATTCAACATTGTATTGGGATCCAGGACAAATTAAACATAATTACAGTAAGAGAAGAACAGCCACCAGCCACTTGTCAGCACAGAAGGACAGACTTCTTTCCACCCACACACATGCCAGTTTTCACAAGTGAATCCTGTGGATGCTTCCCACAATCTAGTCTCCAAGGCTTCCCCCCGAGGCAATCACAACTCTTTAGATGGGGCTGAGTACACCCTGAGTACATACTGCCCTCCAACAACACAGGTCATTTGGGTGTGATGTCCCATCTTATGTTTTTCCCTCTCATCCCCAAATTATCCTTATATCATCCTTAAATCTCACAATGAACTCACCAGAGCAACTGTTCCCATCTGCAGCCCACCAGTGAGGGGTGGCAACAGCAGGCAGGACCAGAAGCCCCTCACTCCGGGCTTTAAGGAGAGACAGAACTGCAACTTTGCAGGGCAGAGGAAAGGGAGAGGCAGGACTGCAAGACAATTTCCTCTCTTCCACACCTGCATCTTCTCCTCCATCGTGCAGTGAGGGGTAAGCCAAGGGAAAAGCCTTGTGTGCTGTATAGCACTTCTCCCACATCAGCCCTTGCTGATGGTGCCACGCCACCTCCGGCCATCGCTGCGCTGGACAGAGACCACATTCGGTGCTCCCTGCAATGGAAACAGCACAGCTGCAAAGCAGGCGAGGTGTCACCTGCACCAAACCCAGCGTGGGGTTCTGCTGCTCTCTGGCACCACAAGCGTGTCAGCAGCAGCTTCCTGCTGGCTGCGAGGATCGGCCGGGAGCAGGAGGGGGGGACATTCAACAGCTCCCAGGGCTGCCAGAACAGGAGTAGGTCCCAGAATCCCTACAGCAACACTGCTAAGCCACCCTACAAATCAGATTTCATCTCTTCTCCACACTTCTGCTACACCTTCAAGACAGCTCAGAAAAGAATCCACCCCACAAATAATGTCTCTGCTTACCATCACTTCCCCTCAGACCCTTCGCCTCTCCTCACAGCTCAGCCTGGGAGTTGCTGTTCTCAGCTGTATCAGACACTGTCTGGTTATGAAAACATGCTCCTTCCAGCAGGGAAGCCACACGCCTGTAGGACTGACTCCTTTAACAACTTGTCTGGATTCCCAGACACCTCCCTTACCAACACCTGGACAGTCACACTATCAAAGGCCCAATTGTTCGAGTTGTCAAGATACTTATCTTTGTGTCTCACATTTGAGTTAGGAGTGAATTAAAGTCTTTGAAGCAGAAACTGCAATAAACCATCAGTCACTGAGGAGTCAAAAACTTCCATAGTGTGTACTGCTTTCCCTGCCTGGCAGCTGAAAGATAAGAACTGT